AGTCCTCGCCATGTAAGAACCGGGCTGCGTCATTGGGCTGACAGTGGCGAGAGAAAGTCTACGCCCCCCGGCTCGAATGCCAGGTTTTTGGAAAATCCTTTCACAACTTCTTCCGATATTCACGTTGACCCCTCGCCTTTACAACTCACTTGAAGTAAAAAACGATTTGCGAGTGGAAAGTCAAAGTCAGCGAGGGAGCTCATGCGCTTGCATGACTCAGGCTTGATCTTAGTTTGGCTGTTTTGTGCTTTCTACTGTCTTCGTTATTCATGTTGTAGAAATGATAGTTGCTCCATGTACAGCACTTTGTATACGGCGGTGGTTGTTTTAAGTGCTCTAGAAATACGGTTGAGAGCCTCTTCTCAACTATTTGCAGAATTGAATTGAATACAACTTTATTGTCAAATGTGCTGATGACGACCCGGTCGCATTCAAATTCATGTTCAACGAGAGTCGGCGTGCCCCCTTCGAGTGCCTCCGATTAGCCGCAAATAAAGTTCAGGCTTCTGTCCTGCACTTGGATTGAAATTCATTTCTGATGACGCGGGTCCTCTCCCTGCAACGTAGAATGTTTGAAAATGTTGTTTGCGAAGGGCTGTTACAGAGCGCCGTTGTTTTTTGTTTTGTTTCCTGCTCCAGGCGGTGGAAGCTGCACAGCTGGCGGAGGACCAGAAGGTGCAGCTGGAGCACACGCAGGCAAAGCTGAAAGAGATCCAAGTCGCCGTGGCCGAGAACCGCACGGCCCGCGAGAGGGAGAGCAGCAATCTCAAGCGAGCGCAGGTCACTTTAGGTTTCTTTTTTTCGTCAAAACACATCGCCTCACCTTGGAAAATAGCGTCACATACACCATAGGTAACATGGCTTCATTTTCTTTGGACCACTCTGTGTTATTTTTGAATGGAAGACACAATCCCCGCCGTGCGCTGAATTGAAATAAGTCTCTAACTGTTGCCTTTCCTCGTGCGTCGTCCCAGGAGGACCTGTCCAGGCTGAGGCGGAAGCTGGAGAAACAGAAGAAGGTGGAGGTGTACTCCGACGCCGACGAGATCCTGCAGGAGGAAATCAACCAGTACAAGGTGCGAGAAATTTGATGACCGTGACCGTGAGGTGGGCTTGTTGGGAAAAGGAAAAAAAAAAACAAATCCCCAGCAACATCCGCATCTCTTCCTGTCGGGAAGGAAACGTAACCGAAAACTCCGCCGACATGTCGTCTTCCCCGCGGATATCACTTGACGTTTTTCCGGAGCCCGGCGTTGCGTTGCGTCTGCACAGCGATGAAGCATATCTAGCGCGTGTACTCTATTGTTGGTTTGTGTGTTCAGGCCAAGCTGCGCTGCCCGTGCTGCAACACGCGCGACAAAGACACGGTGCTCACCAAATGTTTCCACGTTTTCTGCTACGATTGCCTGAAGATGCGCTACGACACGCGCCAGCGCAAATGCCCCAAGTGCAACTGCGCCTTCGGGGCCAACGACTTCCATCGCATCTACATCACCTAAAACAAAAAAAAAAAAAAAACGGACAAGAGCGTTCCCGGCTTTTGTTTCCCTTTGGACGTTTCCTAAAAGGCATCGGTGTCAGCTGGGGACCAAACGGAGAGTGACCGAGTGGTGTTTGTAGGTGAATAATAAACAGCTGTTCAAAGACTTGGCGTGGTCGTATGCGTCCGTCCGTGTCCAGCTGCTCTCGTTTCGCGTCCAACATCTGCTCGGAGGAATGCCCGACACATCTTGAAACGGTTCTTGGCATTGGGGAAATGAAAGCGGCCGGATTAACGCCCTTACTTTGCGCAGAGGAGGCCCGCTTGTGTGACGCGCGAGCGTCTTTGTAATTTACAGCGCCCGACGCACGGAATGCGTGACATCACCACCGTGGATAATAAGCCTGCAGAAACGCCGGCCAATTTGGCACGCAGTCAGCGCATACGACACTCTTTACATCACCTTGAGGAGCTCGGCGAGTGTGTGGGTGTGTTTCGAAAAGTTTTTTTTTTTTTTCCGCGTGTGTATGTTTGTGTCATGGTTGTGTTGGGAGAGAAAGTGTGCAACTGTTTTTTGTGTCCGTTTTTTTGTTGCATGTTTTGTATGCATTTGTGTTGTCTCGTGCGTGTTTTGTTGTGTCGCATGCCTGCTTCTTCCACGGCTCTTTCATTTGTCTGTTTCATGACTGTGTTTTTGCATGAAAGCGTGCACATGGTTTTTGTTTTTTTCTGTGGGTGTGGTTTGCGTGTGCGTTTCATGCATGTCTGTGTTGCGCTTTTGCTTAGCGAGTGGCTTTTGAGTGCGAAGGTTGCTTTCTTTGTGTGACTGTTTTGCGTCGTCTCTTTTCCTGCGTCTGCTTTGAATGTGTGTCTGCGTTGCGTGCGTGTTGTTTCACGACTGGCTTTGCTGTGTGTGTTTCGTTTGTTCCTATTTTGTGTGTTTCTCCCGTTGCCATGGCGCCCCTCGCCGAGCTTGACACAACATCTGCAGCTTATAGTGGCTCGTTACAGTGTGAAATCACCGCAGTGGAAAGTCAGCACATATGGGCGGCCGTTGCGCAGCTCCAGGTCGTCCTAAAGGTCGAGTAGAAAAACATCTGCGCGGGGACATTCTTCAGGCGTCACTCATGCGATGAGCCTCCTCTTTCCCTCCTCCCGCTCGTCGGCCGATGTGAGCGTTAGTTGCGAGGTTGGCTCGCGTCTGTTTGACGTTAGAACTTGTGGGAAAAGCAGTTCACACCATGTTGTGTAGGAATGCTTCCAGACTCCACAGAGAAGGAGGGGGGAGGAAAAGAAAAAAAAAAGTTATTTCAGCTTTTGGGAACAGTTACATTAACGCTCCAGAAGACTTTGTTAGAATGTCGGCAAAAAAAAAAAAAAAGGTCTGTGAAACGGTCACACCCAGGAACAATTTTGAGTGTTCCATTAACCTGCGACGCCTGTTTTGGGAAATGTGGGAGAACATCAGAGTACCTGGAGAAAACCCACCCAGGGGCACAGGGTCAACATGCAATTGCCTCACAGGAAGGCCGGAACCGAACCCTGCGCCTCTGCGCTGTGAGGCCCCGCGGCCGACTGGCGAGTGCGGCGGCCACCCCGGTGCATGCAGAGGTGCAGGGTTCAATTCTGGCTCCGGCTGTCCTGGGTGATGCTTGCATCATCAGATGGTTACTTGTATATGAAGAGAGATTTGGTTCCAACAAACATTGGCTTTCAGAAAAGGAGACCACAAGTGGTGCTACTCAACCCGTTCAAATGCTTTTTCAGTCGAAGGACCTGCGGCTCAGGTCAAAGGGTGGGAGGGTTTTGACTTCCTGGACCTGGATTCGACACCTGCCGATTTGTCATGATCTCACCGGAGGCCACCTGGGAAACACGAGTCAAACATTTGCACATTGGTCGAGCGGGATGCCTTTTTCGACAGCATGGTGGCCCGAAACGGCGGGGTCATCCAAACATTCTACAATGGTCGTCTTTTTAAAAAAATGCCTGACGATACATGGTCGATTTGTCTGCTGAAAACGTCAAACTATACATGGTCAGTTCATGTTATTTCATGGGATACACAAAAGCAAAGAGCAAGGTTGAAAGGATGCGCAAAACATACCGTCGGAGTTAGTAATCGTATTTCATGGTTAGTTTGTCTTGTAGCTCTTAGGGCGTGTTCACACAGTGTCCGCTTAATCAAATGTTGCGGACCATCAGTGAGAAAGACCTCCTTTGATTCAACCGGGGATGCGACAGGCATACATGGGTTTTGTTTTTTAGATGACCCGCGGCAGCATTTGGATGATGGGGTGGGGAGACTGGGAAGAAGCGCAACAGCAGATGCCAGATCTGAGGTCCAGCGGTACCTGGCAGAGGGGAATATTATTGGAAGAACCAACACACTACTTTTCCAAACCTCTCCCGCCTCGCAAAGGAGTTCCTCTGTACGCCGGCATCATCAGTACCATGTGAGCGTGTGTTCTCCACAGGAGGCGAAATAGCATGCAAGGAAAGCAACAGATTCAAATTCCAAACTGGAGCAACGTATTTTTCTGAATAAAGATTTTTGAAGAGTCATTGATGTCAATTATATTGGAGAAACTGTCATCAAATCAGTCAGTTAAGTCTGTCAAGTGGGTTGTCTGCAGGGACGGTGAAAGTCCAGCAGGAGTCAGGATCCACACGGTGCATCATTGGGTCAACACGCTCCATGCCGCCTCATGGACCCATCACGAGAGAAAGTCACGTTGTTGGAGTTTTCCATGATCTTGCGGACGGGGACGAGCGGAGGCTGTCGAAGGTGAGAAAGAAGTCGTATTTTACGCTACGTTAATCACTTTGGGGCCGAAAGTCGAGAAATTTCCTGGGTAAGCCAAAGCAGTCACCCTGGCGAGTCAACGGGTGGCGCTCGTGTGCAAAACACCGTTGAACATGCAGCGGAAGAAGAAGGTTGGCTCGGATTGGCCGACGTGACCAATGAATTGGAGTCAGGTGTGCAGGCGGGAAGAAATGGAGCGCGGTGCACAGGTGCGGCAAGATGGCGACCGACCACGCGGGCTTTTCTTCGGTGGGTGAGCACACGAGCAAATGTTTGTCGCTTGTCGTCGTTTCTCACGATGTCCTTTTGCTTGTTGCCCGATTTGCAGCGTTGGAGGTTGGAACGCAGGACGCCGCGATCCATTCGCTTTTCCCTTGATTTAGGACATTGTGCTCTTCGTTTCTTTTGGAACGTTTTCAACTTTTTTTGTTTGTTTTAAAGCTGGCCAGCTCTTTTACTCTTTTTGTTTGTTTCTTTGTTTTGTTTTAAATTGTTGCAAATTACAAAACCGGTGTCTTTGTGCTTGGGAATTGAACAATGAAAGGTTTTGGTTTGTTTGTTTGACCGAATGTTTGAACATGGCATTTTCTGTCAGGTGGTACGCATTTATTTCTCTGATTCATAGGTCTGGTTTGATGAAGTTTACTTACTGTCTTGGTCAAAAATGTTTGGGTTTTTTTCCCCCTCACCCAATATGAGGAAGCCCAAGCATGTTTAAACCCCCCGTCCCTTTGCAGGTTATTCACCAATGTCCTTCGCTGTTCTACAAACGTGAATATTATTGTGGAAGCCTGAATCGTTTCACGAATGCATATTTTCAGCCCTTTCTGCTCCAAACACAGCCCAAAGTACATCTTTATTCGTCCACTTGCGTGCTGCGAGAGGCAACAAGATCCATGAGGCGAGAGTAAGAAAACCCAACGGCTTGAGTCGTGAGAATTGCAGAACCCGAGTGTTTTTCATTTTTATTTTTTTGCAGTGTGAAGTCGCTATTTGGGACTTAGAGCAGCATGAAGACGAGAACTGGACAAAAGCAGTCAGCGTGGTTTGGAGGGTGGAAGAGGAGCCCGATGAATTGGAAGAGCGTGCGGAGGTGACAAAACGCGTGGCAATTGAATTAACGAGGGGCACCTGCAAAAATGTTTTGCTTTTTGGGTTGCAGGGCTCACATGGAGCTGAATGGGATGACAACAAGGAGCGGTTCCACAAGCGAAGCGAGCGGCGCGCCGATGAGGATCATCCGTCCACGAGCTGCCTGAAAATGCCGAACAGGAGGGGCCAGAGTATTGAGCTTTGCGTTGCGCCTCGTGGTCGGGGGGGGGGAGGGGTTGTCAATATCTGATGGGAACGGTGGCAGTGGTGGCCGGTGCGCTTGGAGCCGGTGGTGGAACCCGTGCCTTTGTGGGGACTCGGGCGCTCTTTGGCAAGGCGTGTTGGAGATGGTCAGCTAGTTGTTTGGCTTGTCTGGATCCAGAGCAACTTTGTGGCGTTTGTCAGTTGGGAAGCTGCTTTGTGGGCGACAGTGTAGGCAGGGTTGGAGGAAGGGCTCTGTCATACCGTCAAGGAAAAACATTTTGTCTGTGTTTCAGGGTCGCGCAGGCACCGGACCGCATGAGGGGGGTCGCAAGAGGATCTCGGACCAGGGTAATAAGTACATCGCAAATTAGTTGACGGGCACACCACGAACACGAGTTTTCTTTTCCCAGTTGCGCGCGTTGGACAAAGCGTCAAACTGTCAAGTATGCGAAGCCGACAAACGTCATTTGCTGAATTGAGGTTTCTTTTGAAAGTGAAACAGCAGAGCCATCGAACTCGCCGCCTTCCTGTCCAGTTGGATCCCAGGTAAACTCCAGCCACCACCTAAAAGTCTTGGGGCGGTTTTGTCAGCGTCAACCCCCATTTTTGACCCGAGTTTTCTGTCTCAAACGGCATCTGAGTGCTGTACATGAGACGGACGAACGGCCCAAGCTCCAGACGAAGAGGCTGATGGGGCGCTTCCGACCTTCGCGACTCAGACTCTGCGCTGCAAGTCGTGAAGGGAGAAAACTCCCTTCATGACTTGCAGCGTCAGAATCACCCAAGTGAAAAATGCACAACTGATGGGACTCTCGGGCGACATTTGTGTTCTTGTGTATAGAGGTAAGATCGGGCCCTAAAATGTCAATCGTTGGTTTGGGTCGGGCTTCTCTCTCGCTGACTTTTTTAAAAATAAATGTGTACTAAAATGATGCTCGGATACTAAATGAAGGAATACTTGTTTTAAAGCAAACAATTTGGATAAAATGGAGAAGGCGCTGTAATGTAATTGCTCTTGAACTGCGAAACAGGAGCGCGGACGGCCAGACGCTGAGCATGCACTGCGCACGTGTCGCACCAAATTACAGACAACGAAAATTGAAACTTTGATGTTAAATTTGGTTCCAACAAAAGTATAGAAATAATTTCATCGATCTTGACCTATTTGCTTTGAATTATTCTATTTAAAGCCTAGTGGGCTGCAGGATTTCTCTGTGTAATTAAGCAAATGCGCATCAAGGTCTCTTTGTCTGGCCTCTTATTCTGTGTTTCAGCGTTATTTCGTTGTGCAAATGCATTTATCACGTTCATTTAAATAGGTAGATTATTTTAACCTTAAGAAATCTTGCTTTTTTTTCTGCCCAAAAATACTCACAAATAAAATATGAAATTTCGGGTTTGCTTGGGCCCGCAAATCAAGTTCATTGGTCGGGTCGGGCTTTCATAGCCTCAGGTCGTGCGCGATTTATTTATTTTGGACAGATCTTACCTCTACTTGCGTATGCAATTCATTTTTCTTTTCCGCAGGCTAAGCTTTGTGTTTGGCTTTTTTTTTTTTTTCCTCCCCTTAAGCCAGCGTGACGTCTCGACCCCTGTGCTCTTCCCGGCCAGCTCCGTCCAGAGCGGGGTCTGGAGAAATCAATTCCACGTGTACAAGAACAAAAGTTTTCATCTCTTTGAGTGTCCGTGCTCCGTTTCCCGCTCTCTGTTGCTTCTCTGAGCCGTCGTTTGTGTTCTTCCGCTCCAGTAATGTTTGCATTGTCCCAGTCCGTGATCTGATTCTCCCATCGGCAGCGGTCCGATGTAGGTTTTGGTGATCCTCGATGAGCTTTTCCCGTTTTGCCCTTTTCTCTTGTGGACACTTTGCAGGCGGGATGGGCGTCGCCGACCAATCGGCGCGCACGCTTCTTTTGTTGCATTTCTATACTTGCAGGGGCAAAGAGGAGCCGTTTGGCACGCCAAACAAGTGGAACAGGGGTGAGTGAGAGAAGAAAACCCAAGCGGCAGTCTCCAAAA